CAATCCCACTATTCGTTGGTAAAAGAGTAGCCTAAGAGTTGGCGGTGGGTGGTGCTGACTAGCTTACAATGCTCTAGTCTTACAATGCTAAATTAGGGACGGCTAGCGCAGATAGCCCTCGTGTTGCTTTGCGCGAAATTCAAAACAAACCAAACCAAACAAACCAATCTTAATAACTTGAAAAACGTCGAAAAAAAAATGTATACGTGAATTGAAATTTACTCTCTTTTCTAACCTTTTTTTCATGAGCTAATTATTTACTCATTAAATGTCAAACGAACGATTGGTAAGTCTGTTCTTTCAGTAAAAGTTTTATATATATACTCAAACGTCAATTCGTAAAAATGACCCAATATTTCATTGCTCTAATCCTCTTAGCTTTTCATGTTATAAAAACAAGTACGCAAGCGAATAAAATGTAACGTTAATATACTAAACAAATTGTGGAACGTATTTGCTTTTCCTTTGTCCTAATTGGCCTAAGTAATACCATTAGTCGATTTTCTTGTAAGTTTTGAAAAAGGTTCAGGTGCCTGAGTGGTTCTATAAACAGCACTTTGGTATTTCCTTGGTGTGGAGCAATTTTCTCTATTTCCATTTCTTGCCACGATCCTATATGTGTGAAGGAAAGACACAGAAAAGATCGAAGTCTGTAAATAAAACAGGCTTTCTACCGTATTTATTCATTTTTCAAATGCTTCAGAATAGTAATGTCAAGCTACAAGAAACTTGGTTTATACCCACTGCAAGGATAATGCGTTTCCTTGGAGAAACATACAAGCAAAATGTTATTGTTGTTGTTGTTCTTTTCTGAAATAAAGTCAAATGGAATATCAATTTCAATATGTTTCACAAGATCAATTTTTTTTTATTTGAATTCACTACTAGTAGCTGCAAACTTTAAGTTTGCATTATCTGAACAGACAAAAAAGCTAAATAATTTAGTTATCGTACAATAATAACACAGATGGCTCAATGCCTCATGGCTTATAACGCTAAAAATCTCAGTTCGATACTAGCGGTGATAATAATTTAATAAGCTCATTATTTAGATTTGCGTTTAAACAAATTGAATGTTATCACAAATTTTAATTGTTTTTATATTTAGTAATAAAAACGAATTAATATACTTGAGAATACCTTTGTAGTGATGCTGGTTTTCTGAGGGTTATTAGTGTACTTGAGTATACCGCTGTAGTGATACTGGTTTTTCTGAAGGTTATTAGTGTACTTGAGTATACCGCTGTAGTGATGCTGGTTTTCTGAAGGTTATTAGTGTAACATAAAATATTACAATGGGTGGTGATGTCGCTTTTCTGATGGTTGTTAGTGTACCTGATAACACCACATTAGTAATGTTACTCTCCTCAAGGTTATTATTCTACCTAAGAATACTACAGTGGTGATACCGCTCACCTCTAGGTTATTAGCCTACCAGAGAATACTAAAGTCGTGATAACACTTCTTCAAGGTTATTAGTTTACCTGATAATACTACAGTAGCGATACCGCTCTCCTCAAGGTTATTAGTCTACCTGAAAATACAACAGCGGTGATACCGCTTTACTCAAGGTTATTAGCCTACCTGAGAAAAACAACAGTGGTGATGCTGTTCTCCTCAAGATTATTAGTCTATCTGAAAATATTACAGTGGTGATAACACTCTCTTCAAGGTTATTAGTTTACCTGAGAATACTACAGTAGCGATACCGCTCTCCTTAAGATTATTAGTCAACCTGAGAATACTACAGTGGTGGTACCACTCTCCTTAGGTTATTAGTCTACCTGAAAATACAACAGCGGTGATACCGCTTTACTCAAGGTTATTAGCCTACCTGAGAAAACAACAGTGGTGATGCTGTTCTTCTCAAGATTATTAGTCTATCTGAAAATATTACAGTGGTGATAACACTCTCTTCAAGGTTATTAGTTT